GAGAAGGAGGTGGAGAAGATGGAGGAGAAATCGAGAAAATGGAGGAAGAGCTCAAGAAGATGGAGGAGAAGGTGGAGAAGATGGAGGAGGAGGTCGAGAAAATGGAGGAAGCGCTCAAGAAGATGGAGAAGGTTGAGAAAATGGAGGAGGAGGCTGAAAAGATGAAGAACGTCAAGAACATGGAGAATAACTCCAAGAAGATGGAGGAGAATGTCAGGAAGATGGAGGAGAACACAAAGATGGGGGAAAAGGTTGAGAAGATGGAGGAGGAGGTGGAGAAGATGGAGGAGGAGATCAAGATTATGGAGAAGAAGGTTGAGAAGATGGAGGACGAGGTTGAGAAGATGAAAAAGAATGTCAAGAACATGGAGAAGAACTCCAAGAAGATGGAGGAGAACACAAAGATGGAGCAGGTTGAGAAGATGGAGGAGAAGGTTGAGAAAATGGAGGAAAGGGTTGAGATGATGGAGAAGAACATTGAGAAGATGGATGAAGAGATTAAGAAGATGGAGAAGAACATCAAGAAGGAGAAAAACATTGAGAAGATGAAAAACGTCAAGAAGATGGAGAAGAATATCAGAAAGATGGAGGAGAAGACAAAGATGGAGGAGGAGGTTGAGAAAATGGAGGAGGAGGTCATGAAGATGGAGCAGAAGGTCAAGAAGATGGAGGAGAACATTGAGAAGATGAAGAAGAACGTCATGAACAAGGACAACTCCAACAAGATGGAGAAGAACGTCAAGAAGATGGAGGAGAATGTTGAGAAGATGGGCAACAATATCAGGAACATGGAGTAGAACGTCAAGAAGATTGAGGAGACCACCAAGATGGAGGAGAACATTGAGAAGATGGAGGAGCAGAACACCAAGATGGGAGCAGGAGAACGCCAAGACAGAGCAGAAGGTGGAGATGGAGGAGGAGAATGTCAGAAAGATGGAGGTCAAGAAGATGGAGAAGAATGTCAAGAAGACAAAGGAGAACATTGAGAAGATGAAGAACAACGTCAAGAAGATTGAGGAGAACACCAAGACGGAGGAAGAGGTTGAGAAGATAGAAGATGAGGTCAAGAAGATGGAGGAGGAGATGATGGAGGTTGAGAAGATGGAGGAGGAGATGATGGAGGTTGAGAAGATGGAGGAGAACATCAAGATGGAGAAGGAGGTTGAGAAGATGGAGGAGGAGATTGAGATAGAGCAGAAGAATGTCAAGAAGATGGATAACATCAAGAAAATGAAGAACATTGAGGTGATGAGGAACATCAAGAAGATGCAGGAGAACATCCAGAAGATGGAGAACATCAAGAAAATGAAGAACATTGAGAAAATGAAGAACATTGAGGTGATGAAGAACATCAAGAAGATGCAGGAGAACATCAAGATGGAAAACATCAAGAAAACGAAGGAGAACACCAAGAAGATGAATGAAAACATCAACAGAATGAAGAACAACATTCAGAAGATGGAGAAGAACATGGAGAACATGGAGGAGAAGCCACCTGTGGGGTGGACAAGGGGGTGGGAGAAGCTCTGGAGACTCACCAGGCGCTTGAGCTCCGGGTGCCGGGCCTGGATGCGTTTGAACTCCAAGATCTTGCCCTCGTCCACGTCCTCCTTCAGCTCCCAGGTGCTGTCCTCGTAGGGCAGGGAGCACCACTTCACCAGGTAGTAGACCACGGGCTGGGGTGGGGTGGGAGGAGAAGACAGGTGAGGTGACGGGAGGAGGTCCCGGGTGGGCCCCAGGGGAGCTCCCAGCAGCCTCACCTCCCCGTTGTCCTTGTCCACGCTGTGGGACTCGTCCAGGATCCGGTCCACCTCCACGTAGTCGGGGTTGAAGGGCTCCTCGTCCTGGGGGGGACGGGGAGGAGAAGACATGGGGGGGAGGAGA